AATAAATAATTATGACTAGAATCGTCAAAATATCGAATATCAGTAGGTGCCTTTATATATACATATACAATATTGTGCCACATGAGGTAGAATCCATTAGAAACTCTATCTACCAGTTATTTCGTTAGAAAACATGGCTGAAATCGTCAAAATTCCGAATATCGGGATGTAGAATATGGCTCATCTTCGAATTTGACCTGACTGCAAACAAAAAAATACTCTATGAAAAATGTTAGCTCTCTATCACATGTCGTTTTGACCCCAGCGGACGAAAATGACTAAATCTACTCAGAATTTTACTCTGATGAAGTGTCGGGTCTTAAATGATTATTTTGATGAGTTACAAACTGAATGACAAGCATACTATGTATTTAGAGGGCATAAAAACAGGAGTCTACGAATGATTCTATTGTCCGTATCCACAGTGTATTCCTCTTGAAAGGGACATGAAGTAATAATAATGCCTGGGCAAAATTTCAAAACATTTGCATTGAAATTTCCCGATATACCTCCATTTCAATAGGGGAATAAAAAATTTACAGAGATCAAGAACGAAAATACTTTTATGGAGTATTCGACAGATAATTCGAGTGGGGTTTATTAGTAATTCTCACGAGTTTAATTAAATTCATTTGTTCGTATAAGAGGCTAATAGAAGAAAGAGCTCTGAAAACAACGACTGTCATTGATACGTATAGAAGTTTTAGGAAGTTAAATTTGCATTAACTTACGATCTTGCATATCACACCATTAATTAGAGTATGAATTTTGAATTAGCTACGTTATGTATCAAGGATAGACCAAGAGCTCTTAACGTTAACCCGGAAAAACTTAGTATATGTATTTTCACTTGCTAAACAAAAATGGGGCACTTCGGTGACTGATTCACCTGAACAAGATAATCAACATTTCCAATAGGGTTAAATATCTGGGTGTGATTGTAGGTAGTACACTTAATTAAAGAGACCACATCCAAAAAAGAGCAAATAAGGCTCACTTGCTTAATGTCAACACGATACCGCCTATCGTAAACTTCGTAACACACAGTAAGATTGCCATAGAAGCTATAACAGCTTTTTTTTATAACAATATCAACAAGCAAAAAAACACAGCTAAGTTCAGTCGGGCATCCATTTGGAAGGAACTTGAAAAATTTCGAAAAATTTCCGAAAACCTCCACTTATATGAAAACTGTTATATCCGAACTATACCAAGATGTGGAAATTTTTTGTTATACGAACTTCAAATACAATACGAACTTCAAATACAAAATTTGAAACAGTTCCAGTGAATAATGTCGATAAGATCATAAAAATATTGAATATCGGGAGGTACCGTTATATGAGGGCTATATGATAACTTGGACCTACATGTCCCATTTACGAACTTAATCTGCCTACTGGCGTGATTACAACAGACAGACGGACAGACACACAGACGGACATGGCTAAATCGTCTTAGAATTTTACGCTGATCAAGAATATATATACTTTGTTGAGTCTGACATGAGTATTTCGAGGAGTTACAAACGGAATGACAAAATTAATATACCCTCCATAGTATGGTGGAGGGTATACAAAGATTTCAATAAAGATTTCGGCATGTAGGTAACTATTGGTGGGAATGCAGGGGTAAGGACTGTTTTTTTTTCGGAAATTCGTACTCAAAAGGTACTAAGAAGTTCTAAAAACTGTGTTTTTAATATTAAATTCTATATTTTTAGTTATATGGGGGATATATAAACGTGGACTGACATGGCCAATTTACGAACTTGACCTGCCCACTGGTAAACTATGCATGTATGCAAAATTTTAGTCTTCTATTTCAATTCTATCTCAATTCGTTCGTTAATTAAAACCTCTTAGAAAACATCGTCTTAGAATTTTACGCTGATCCCTTCTTTTCTGGGTCTATTATAAATATTTCGAGGAGTTACAAATGGAATGACAACGCTAATATACCCTCCATAGAATGGAAAACTGTATTGGAATGCATAAATGCAATCAACAACTCTTTTCAAGACCGTTCAATACGCTTTATATGGGTACCAGGTCATGCGAGGGTGAGAGGTGAGGTGACAGCAAACTCTCTCGCAAAAACAGGCAGGGAATTAGCAAAAGTGCGGGGATTAGAGGTGAGGTGACAGCAAACTCTCTCGCAAAAACAGGCAGGGAATTAGCAAAAGTAAACTTGATCTATCCAATACCATTAAATGCGTCAAGTCGAGAGATAAAACATGGTCAAAAAACTCCCACATATGTATGCCTATGAAGCAATGAAGACGTAAGGAAAATAAGAAAAATCCTAGGGGAGGACCCAATTTAATAAAAACAAAAAACATTTTATTACATGGTAAGAAAGATATTAGTGGGGTAATAGACATCCCTACGGGGTACCTGGGTCCACACGCACATTTGTACAAGAGATGATGTGTGTGAAGAAATGTGTGTGTTTTTTGTTAATGCCCAGCGTTTTAAAAAATCAGATCCCAATTCTTAAGGAACAAACAAAGGAATTTGGTTAAGGTAATTGAATTTCTAAAAAATAGACTGTAAACTGTCCGTCTTCTTTCAATGACTTTTAATCTTGAGCGCACAGCAGGCCTATACTGGCTTAACTGTATGTCCACCAGGGCATATGGCGTATGTTTTGATCTTTTTTTCCTTTTGTCGATCCTTCTTTTAAACCAAATCTAATCAAACTCCTCAAAATAATACTGTTTGTCTAAGACTAATACGCCTTGGCCTATTCCCCTTGTTAGAAAGCTACAAGCTAAAAAAGTATCAGTCGATCAAACAGATGTATACCATCAGCCAATATTCGATTATTTAAATATTTTTTGACTTCTTTTATGATTATTCAAATTGAGTAGATTTTGAAGGAATCGGGCCCAAATAAATATGATAAAAAATATTGCTATTTATATTTGGACTATATTGGTCACTTTCTCCATTTTATATAAGATATGTAATAACATTTGGAAAATGGTAAAAGGTGCGTGACGTACCAGATATAGTATTCCATTCACATACTTCACCTAATACAGATAAAAATATTGGCATGGTCAAAATTACAAGAAAATCGAACATTTATATCAAATTTATATCGAAATCAAAAATTCCATATTCATCTCAGGTTTTTGGTTGAGAGAAATATTTAGACAAGGTAAAGTAAGGTGTAAAGAATCGTTGACTTTTTTCGCAAGTTATGACAGATAAGAGTATTTTACCAGAAAGAGTGGAACGATATATCTTCACAGCAGATCTTATTTTAGTAGAAATAATAGAATGTGTGAAATATGAAGAAACCCGGATGCCATTTTCGTATTTTATAATCGTTTTGGTTATTCAAAACTTTGACCTTTTGTAGGGGAGGTACTAGAAGCATCTCTACCATCTTTATAACGGATCTTGTGTTGATAGAAATATTGAGATGTGCCAAGTCTGAATGGAATTAGATCTTAATTTCGCGTTTTATGTTCTTCACGGGTTTTAAAAAAATTTGACCCTTTGAGGAGGAGGCACCAGAGGGAGTGGACCGATATTTTCCATCTTCACGCCAGACCTTGTTTTAGTAAAAATATTGTGATGTGAGTAATTTTAAGATAATCGGACTCGTATATCAGATTTTATAACACTTATAATTATCAACTTTTTGATCCTTTGTGGAGATATTGTTCATTTTCGCACCTGACCTAGAACTGATGCAAATATCAGGATTGGCAAAGTTGGAGCAAAATCGAATTATCCTTACTCTTTCTGTGCAAAATATATATTTTTGAAAATTTCGACCCTTTGTGGAGCAGGTGCCAGAAGGAGTGGACCGATATTGCCCATCTCCGAACTTGACCTAAGTTTAATAATAATATAACGATGTACTAAGTTTGGACCAAATCGGATGTTACCTTTGAGAGTTATCATACGCACCTGGCAGACGGACGGACATCGCTAGATCGACTCCAAAAGTCCTGAGACGGATTTGATTCAAAAAAAACCTAGGGTATTAAACCGTTATTTCGATGAAGCACGTTTTGACCGTGTTAGCCGTATGGCTGAGGGTATAGTAACTGAAATAGACAGCAGAAATTTTGTACACATGCGCGTTTGTTTGATGTTGGCTATTTTGTGAGATTTTGTTCGCTAAACGAATTGTCTGATATTTAGTATTTCATATTCGTAATGGTTTTTAAGCCTTATGTAGATTTCAGATTTTAGTTATATTTGAAGTTGACATCGTTTTTTCTAATTTTCTAATGGAACTGATCACAGTTTGAACTTATGGATACCTAATACATAGTTCATCCTTCATCATACCCATTTATCAATCTCCCCTATTATTTCTTCGCTTTCCACTTGCCCATCTAAGTAGAAAATATTTTTGTTTACACACTTTCATTGCTTTCACTTTCGCCAGACATTCCATTGACTTAAGAATGCATTTCTGTACAGATTAACACATTTTATGCGTAATCTGGGCCACAGGGGATGGATCCTGATGAACTCAACCTGCTAACCCTGCCGGTGGGTTCAAATCTAAGTGGACAAGTTATTGTTGCACTCTAGTGTTGTAATGTTGGCAGTGCATGTGAACACGCTGTGTATTGAGCTGAGCAAGGTCTTTGCTTAGTTAAAAGCTAAGGGTCCTTGTGCATTTAGTTAATGCTCGTGAACAATGAACCCTGGTTACGCCAAGCGTTTTGTTGTTTACGTTGTTGTCGTTTTTGTTTTCTTTCAAACCAACGACAACAACGATAAAGACGTTGATGGGGGGATGACGATGAAGATGGGGAGGTGGATGGAGTGTGGGGTGGGGTGGTTTGTGTTCTGTTAAAACTGAAATGCTGGTACGACGATGATGACGATAATTTTCTACTCTTAACCCAATTCACACGGTCAGGCGACAACTCAAGTAGCAACCGGCTGGCTGGCTAACCAAAACACAACGACGTCGACAACAACGACAGACTCTACTCTGCCAGACACTTGAAATGCTGAGCTTACCTTTTAATGATGTTTGTTTTTGTTTTGTGGTGTTTTAATTTTGGTTGCTTGTCAGGACTTTTTCCTTGTTTATGTTGATGTTGTTTTTGTCGTTTTTTTTTTTTTTTTGTTTTTGGTCCAAGCACAAATTTAGAAAGAATTTCGCTTTTGTTTGTTATTTTTGGTACTGTGGTTTTTGTTATTCTCAAGTTGTAATACTTGCACTTTTGCTTAGGTGGTTTCAGGAGCTGTTCCTTGCAAATTATTTAAAATTTGTTGAATTTAAAATTATTTTTATGTAATTTTGGATGAACTCTTATATAAAACATCAATTCCTTTTTTATATCCGTATTATGAGGGGGATTGTGAAAACCATGGCTAAGTAACGCACTTTTGGAGGGGGAAGGGGCCCTTCTACTATGTATATTTACTACAACAAGACAATCCTCTTTGCATTATTTACATATTTACATGACAACAACAAAAAGGCGATATAAATTACAACAACGCAAGTTAACACATGCAAGCACGCACGCACAACAACCGATGAAGACGATGCGAAACTGACGGGAAACGGATGCGGAAACAAGTGTGATTACGCGTTTATTTGTCTATCTCTCTGGCTCTGCACGGCGTATGAGTGATGTGCGAATTGTTTGTTTGTTTCTTTTGTTGGGAATGGAATGGAATTGATTTGTATTTGTTTTGATTTTCTGTTGTTTTAGTTATTTGTTACCCGTTTGAATTTCTTTAAGTAAATTTTGATTTAACATTTTTGTGATTTTTTTTTCTACACAATTTTTGTCACATAACACCAGGCGTATACATTTTTTCGCTCGCTTTCATTTATTGTCCTTCAATGTCCACCACTTTCTTTTTTCAATTTACATATTAGCTGCACAGTGGATTTTCGTTGGTGGTGGCTGCAGCACTGAATTCTGTTCCGTTCGCTAGATTTGTTGTTATTAATGGCATGCCCATAATAATTATGATGATGATGTTGAAACACCACACACATGTTTGGAGAAACGCTCTAGCGACTGATTCACCTGTTCACGCTTCGCTTAAATGACAAACTAGTTTTTTTGAGGCAAGCAAAATTATCACAAACTGATGGCAAGCAGCTGACTTGGGTGTGGAGACTTGGACAAGGCGCATGAGCCATTTTTCCACATCAACAAATCCACTGAGAGCCGTGAGTACCCATGGTTTTCGAAATCTCCGCACAAATTCGAAATCTCCACACAGCCGCACAAAGTCTACAATGCCAATGCCATAGAGCCAAACGACCATCTGTTTGAATTTCAAGTTTAAGTTAACAAACTGTTGGCTGTGAATCTTTTGCCTGCTTGTCTCGCTAGCGGATAAAATGCTTCGTGCAATGGTTTTGATAGAGAGCACGAGTAAATGTGAATGTTTCTGTGTGTGTGTCTGTGTATGATAACGTGTGGCTGTGTGCCAATGTTTTCATTTTTCGCTTTCACTTAGGCAGGCCATGGCATAGGCAAAAACTTTTATCTGTTGAATGATGATAAGCAGACATTGACACAACCCTCAGTCACACATACACAGTTCTATCAGTACGTCTTCTTTGGAGGCTTCGAATATCCATGCCAAATACAAGCAGAGCTCTCCCCATTACACAGCGATAAAAGCGGCAACATTTTTAAAGTTAAGAAATACTTTTTTTTGATATTCAAAAAACCCAAAAACTTGCCTCTCAAAATGGGGGCTATTTGATGTTAGCAACAATGATAAGTCCTGTCGTTACAAGTTATTGCTCTTTTGTACTGATATCGGGTGGATGCTGAAACATATATTGTTCACATCTTTTTTGTCGTGAAATTTATTGTACTGCATGGGCATGGGGTTGTGTTTCTTACCAATTATTATGTATAAATTCAAATAGAACTTTAAAAAATGCAATGAAAACGTACTAGGCAAGAAATATAGGAAGACGTCATCGAATATGGAGACATATTCGATTTCTGCCGGCAACACCTAAAAATTAGACTACATAAATTAACATTTCCCGTTTGTCTGCATAAAAATCTAATAAAATTTTGCCAATGAATTTTCGTCAGGCTGTCTTAATCCTGATAGAGCACACATAATCGAAGCTTATTTCCATTTTTGCTAGATTGGGTGGCATTTTCACTAAAGACAGTTTAATATTGTAGGGATTTTGAAACTAATATGAAAAGTTCGGTGGAACTCTTGGGAGTCAGGTATCCTCCGAAATGGTTAATTATACCCTACAACACTATGTGTTGGGGGTATTATAAGTTTGATTGGCCCAAAAATTATGTAACACCACGAAATATTGGTTTCCCACATAGGAAAGTATATATGGATCTTCCTAGCTCGCCGAGCTGAGTCGATCTAGCTATGTATGTCCGTCCGTCCGTCTGTCCGTCTGTCCATGTTAATTTGTAATCACTCTACAGGTCGCAATTATGGCCCGATCTTCACGAAATTTAGAATGGAGGGGGTTTAGGGGTTGAAATGGATCAATTACTGAAAAAATGTCGGATTTTGCAGTAGCTATACAGGTCGCAATCATAAACCAATCGACGAGGAATTTCGCATGTAGCTAGAGTTTAGGGCAGGGAAGAAGCCTACCAATTCGGGTGGTCATCGGATAATATTTAGCGGGTCAAATAGACCATATCTTTTGTGTTGAAAAAAATCAAAATTTTTCATTAAACCGCGAATATTTTAAATCCCGGCGAAATCACAAAGCCATGACAAGGTTACTTCTGATCTTTACATTGATGTTAACACCCAACAAAACGGATATATAGCAAAATATGTGCGATATATATGTTTATCAAAGAAGATATGCTTGAAAAATCTCTTATATGTCGAGAACGGCTGAACTGATTTCGACAGTTCTCATTAATTCAGAATGGCCACTTGGCAGGAAAGAAAAAACCTCTAAAAAAATCTCATAAAAATATCTCTCTAAAGATGAAAATATTGATTTTGTAAAATTTTCTCATATTTTTTCAATTTTGTCATATTTTTGGCATATTTTCATTTTGAATTAAACATTTGGTAATATTTCTACAGCTAACAAAACTAAGTAGTTAGGATATCAGGATATCATATACAGATCGCATTTATGGCCCGATCCTTACGAAATTTTGCATGGAGATAAGATGAGGGTCAGAAAAGAAGCCTACTTCTTTGGAGATGATCGCCATATATTTAGGGGCTGAAGTGGACCAAAAAACTGCAATATTGTCAGCAGGTCGTAATTATCGCCCGATCCTCACGCACATTTGAATGGGGGTTACCGGACATTACAAAAGCCAAGCAGTTTTGGATGGCCATCCAAAAATATTCAATGTGTGAAATAGTTTGCCAACTTTTATAGACAAAATACGAAAATGTCCATTCCAGTGACTTTTTGGAGAATTCACAAATACAGGAAAGACGCACTTCTGACTATTTATGTAACGCTGATTTCGTTGAAGAATATAGTCAAATGTCTGTATCTCATATAGATGCGTTTCAGTCAAAAACCAATAATAAATGTTAATCTTTTGCCACTCTGAGAGGTTATAGGTCTTTGGGAAATATTGGTTCCAGATCTAGGAAGACCATTTACGTGCAACATCTACCAATAAATTGGAAATGAGCAAATTAGTTAAAGTTGCTATTATTCGAAAATTAGAGAACGAAACCTGATGGTTTTCTTTTATTATTTGTCACAATATCTTCTGGAATCCTTTTGAGTATCTCGCCCATATAAACTGTATCGTATATTATAGTGTTGTAGGGTATTCAACGGTCGGCCCCGCGCGACTGTAGCCTTTGCTTACTTGTTTTAATTGTATTTAATATGAACAAGTTAATGTTTCGCTTTCTGTGTACGACGCTGCTGTGTGATTTCTTTGAATCTCCCTAACTTGCCGAGTAGATCTAGCTAGGAAATTTAGCATGATGGTCAGGGTGGGGTCAGAAAAGAATGAGTTGAGATGGACCAATAACAGATATATTTCCTGAATCTAGCATTGGATTGAAGTTTAGCGCTGAGCAGAAATACGACATTGTCCACTAAACCTCGAATATTTTTAATCTCTTTAAAATGTCACTTCTGACATTTTAAGTATCACAGCTGATAACCAAGATATGGATATATAGCAAAATAAGTAAAATCTATATGTAAACGAAATTAATGTTAGTTATTTCTCTTAGAAGTCAGAACAAATGGACTGATTTTGACAAATCTCACCAATTTGGAATGGCCTCTTGGGATAAAAGATTAAATTAAAAGAAAACCGTGTAAAACTTTGCCAATAAAAATTAAATATTTTTTTTAGATATTTTTTAATTTTATAGCTTGAGATCATTTTATATTTCTCACATTATATTGAATTGTATTTTTTAATTTTTTTCACATTATTTTATATCATTTAAATTGCAATTATCGCCCGATCCTCAAAAAATTTTGCATGGTGGTTGGATTAGGGTCAGAATTGAAGCCTATTGTTTTGAACTCTATATTTAGGCGTTCAAATGGGCAAAAATGTTAAATTGTCCAGATTTTGCAGTAGGGTAGGGTATATCAAGGTAGGACTAGTCAGACGTAGCCTTTGCTTTTTTTCGTGTAATATGTTTATCCTTTAGTAGAATGAAGCATAATATGTCGCTCTATCTTTGTTAAAAGATTGGACCGACATTTTTTTGTTATCGCACCTGATATATAACCATATGAGAGGTGTGGACAAAATCGAAGCTAAGAAATTTAATTAACATCCTATGTTACATATTTTTTTTCAAAATCAAACTTACAATGTTGTAAGGTAAAAATATATTATCTTATTATATATAAAAAAAAGAAATGTATGTGAATTACTACGTTTATAACTCAACAACGGCTGGCCGAACTTTGCCAATTCATTGGGTAAATATTGTGACATTTTAATTTTTCGTATGTTTCTTAATAAGAAATTTCATTGGAACTGCAATCTATGAAATACCAATTATAAAGGAGAACTGCAATATCCGCACTAAACAAAAAAAAAAATGTTTTATATCCTCCTGAAAATTGTTCATGGCATTATTTTAAAACCGAAATCTACCAGCATGGTAGATTTTAATATATAATAGTGTTGTAGTGTATAGCGTGGTCGGCACCGCACTACTCTAACCATTTTTTGCTTGTTTTCATACTAATTTCGGAAAATTTTTGTGATGTAACTTACACTTAACTAAGTAAAAATAAATCATCCCATTGTCCTACGTTTCGGCATAACCTTCATATGAAAGTGTCCCCTGATTTCAGATAGGGGTCTTGGCCACATTTTCAATGGATTTGTCACTTGTTTGACATCTTGGTTTCTAAGAGGGGAAAACCTCTTCGCTGAAGATTTTCAATGTAAGTCAACGTTTCGGAATAGTGCTCATATTTTCTGATTTTACCTATTCCGAGGGTCTTTCCCACAATTTCAACATAGGTCAAATTTTTGGTATTGTCCCCATGTAACGGAACTTCCCAGGTCAAATAATATGAGCCAGATCTGGGAATTATTATACTCCAAAAAATATGCAAAAAATATAAGATAGAGATAGGAAGATTGATATATAACATCGTGGGCCTAGGACAAATATATCGAGGTGCTTACATTCTTAATACCCATAACAATTTAAAGCTAGAAACAAAGGTTGAAAGTCAGGCGAGTCCGACCATATAACACTCTAATTTAATTTATGTTAATGAACCTTTTTTGAAAGGATATTATGGCTTTACAGCAGTTCTAATTTGGAATCCGGGGAACTAATATATGTGAGGTACATCTAACTTTGAACCGATTTCCAAAAAAAAAATTGCATTTGTACGTTACATATGAAAAAATGTAACGGAGCAATAGATACATTGGTACAGGTTACGTCAAATGTCGTACAACTTTAGCTATTGAAATCGGACGAAGATATATGGGAGCTATACAAGTGGGGAATTCCTTGGAGTAATCAAATTATTTGTGGAAAATTTCAACTCAATCGGACAATAAATGCGACCTGAATTTTGTTTACAAAAATAAATGGATG